TTTTTATTTTGTTGACAGTCCATTGAACCAAAAAATGGAAAAGAAAAAAAGAAACCAAGCATTTACTTATTTTTTTAAGAAAAATTCTTTAAAAGTATTACGTATCTCTGAAAGGTCTGTCTTTTAAGAGGTCTCATTCCATCTTCATTTCATCTTTATTTTTATCTTTAAAAGTGTGTCACTTTATATTGTTCTGCATAAAAAAAAATTCCAAGTCTCAGGTAAGTTAAAAACCGACTATGGTTTTGGCTGCAATTTTAGTTTTTTTAACAATCTGTTGAACAAAAAAAATTAAAAAATGAATAAGAAACGGCGAAACTCATTCCATCTTCATTTTCTTCTTATCATCTTCATTTTTGACAACCTGTTAAAAAGAAGAATGATCGAAGCATTATTTACTTGGCCAAAGAAGAATTATTCATAAGTGTTATCTATTTACTTGTCAAAAGACATTTTCAGGTCTTCGACCTGGGAGGGGGCGAGGGAGGGGCTGCATTTCAAATCTATTAAACATGATCACCATTAATCACCCCAAAATTTCAAATATTCTCAAATAAACTATGCCTCGTTTTTTTAATCTATTTATCTACCGTTAAAAAAAATAAAAATTAAAAAGTAACTCAGATTTGATAGTGTAGAATAAATATATGATCTGTGACAGTCCATTATTGGGATTCTAAGAGTTTAAGGGAATTTTGGCTGCTATTTTAGTACTTTTAGACAGCCCGTTGAACAAAAACAAAAAAACAAAAAAACCGGCAGATCTTATTCTGTCTTCATTTTTATCTTTCTGTCTATGTTTTTGACCACCCATTGAACACAAAAATAAATAAATAAATAAAAAGTTGAATCACTACTTACTTGTCCAAATTATTTTCTAAAAGTGTTATCTGCTTATAAAAGGGTCGTCTTTGAATTTTTGGATCTTATTCCAGCTTAATTTCCATCTTTAACAACTTGTCATTTTGTATCGTCCCACTTAAAAGATTTCGAGTTTTTGGAGGTACGATAGTTTTGCTGTATTTAATTATTTTTTGACAACCCGTTGAACAGAAGAATAATAATAATAAGAAGAAGTAGAAGAGGAAGAAGAAGCGGCAAATCCCATTCCGTCTTCATTTTCATCTTCCATCTTTGTTTTGTTAACAACCCTTTTAACCCACCCTGCCCCCCTCCCCTCCAAAAAAAAAAAGAATCAAACATTAGTTACTTGTCTAAGAGAAATTCTTCAAAAGTATTATCTAATTATGAAAGAATCGTCTTTCGGCGGGTCTCATTTCATCTTTATTTTTATCTTTAACAGTACGTCACTCTGTATTATTTTGGTTAAAAGATTCTGCTTGTTTGGTAGGTTGATTACAAATAATGGTTTTGGTGCAGTTTTAATATTTTTTTGACAATCTCTGTTGAACCACAAAGAAAAAAGGAATACGAAATGGAAGATCTCATTCCATCTTCATTTTCACCTTTTCATCTTCATTTTCGACAGCCTGTTGAACCAAAAAAAAAAAAATTAATAATGAACAATAACTTTTTACTTATCCAAAGAGAAATTCTTCAAAAGTGTTATTTAATTTCTTATCCAAAGATATTTCAAGGTCTTGAACACGATAGGCATATGCGTTTAGATAATAATCTTTGAATTTCATTTTGTTTTTATCACCATATACAAAAGAAAACAAAACTCCTTTCTTGATCTAAACCCGTCAAATACCATCACCACAAATCACCCCAAAATTTCAAATATTATCAAGTAAACTCATGTCACCTATATAAACTTATATCGCGTTTATCCATGTCTTTGTATGCGGTTTACAAAAAAATAAAAATTAGGAATAAAATCAAATTTGAATATGTAAAATAAATATCTAATTTTTGACAACCCATTATTGGGATATTTAAAGAAATATTGACAAAAAGGTGTAATGTAGTATCTTCCTCATTAAGATATCTTTCGCAAACCTTTGGAGTAGAGCGTCGAGTTCTTGTCAAGAGAGTTACCAATTTTCACATAGATTAACAAAACTAAATTAACTAATAATTTTTATTTTAATCTCCTCTAGTCAATATATTAATATTTCTTAAACTATGATTCTAATTAATTCTTGAAAATTATTGAAACCAATTGGGACCATTAGAACATTCCTCTTTTCAAATTATCAAATAGTGATAACACATATACAATTTATTATAATCATTAATTCATTATCAAATTAGTACAACCAATCCAGAAGAAAAAAAGAAAAAAGAGTAAGCAAGCATTCTTCCAATTAATATTGATTAGAAAATACTATAGCTACTAATTTTTTTTTAGTTAATTATTTTGTATCAGTTGTAATAGTATATATCATAATACAACTTCAAATTTTTGTCCATATTTGGTATGGGCGGCTTTGTGTTAAATTTAACAATACTAACAGATCAAATGGCATTACTAATCGATATTCCTTTATGATAGTATAATAAATTAATAAAAGCTCTCCATAACTACACCAGAGGGTAATACTATTTTCATGGTTGTTTAAATTTATTGTGTTCGAACTTTTAATATAAATTTATGCCTTTTTTATTCTTTTCAGTCCCCCAAATATATTTTCTCAACAATTTTGTAATTAGCAAAAATATTGCAATATGGAAAGTATTTTTCACAAGTTCCATTATTTTGCTGTTTAAATCTCTATATGTATGGACTCCCAACACGCATCCTGCTTTCGGGTCAACTTGAATTTAGCCCATAACCAAAAAGATAACTTATAAGGCACAATCGTCCTTGAAAATATAAAATTGACGAATTTGAAGAACCATGTAGCACACCAATGGAATTTTAAGGACCAAATTGACAACCAATTAAAAATTTCAACTTTCAAGTGCAAGGGTTCCTGGAGACATGGGGCTTTTCAGCAATTTTTAAAAATTTTCATCTTCAATCTCCCGATATGAAATTTTTCGGCCAAAAAAAATATATTTGCCAGCCAAAGGGATCCATGCCGCTGCACCCCGATCTCGCATTATGGTGCACAGAACTTATCGTTTTTTAAGTCAAAATGATCCCCATGATGAGTTACAGAAAATTCATATCTCAATTTAGCCGATCCATGCTGGAATCAGAGCTAATGAGGTTGGAACCGAGAATCTTGCCGGGTTCTGTTGACACTTTATCTTCTGTCGTTCTGCTCTTTATCGTTCATCGCTCGTCGTTCTATGGTTCATTGTTCATCCGTTTTGCCGTTTCACTCCATTCAACCACGCGAAACAATCCCCATGATGAACTCCAGTCACTCACGGTGAGCTTATTTATAAATTCATAAGAAACCTTGTCTTCAACCTTGAGATTTGAAATCTCACACAGTCACACAAAGGGGTTGCATCGCTGAAGTACAATATTGAATTCAGACTGTTAAAATTTACCCTTTTTTACACAAAAATGATCACCTAAAGAGTTCCACAAAACTCTTAAGAAAGGCAAAAAGATTAAATGGTAGCATGAAACATCAGTATTTTTAGTCGGAAGTCGGATTTATGATGATCATCACGATCGTGGATGTCATCAATGCTGAAGAAGGACAAATCAAATTAAAAGCATCTGTTCCTATTTACGTGTCTGACTAAAAGTTTAAAACCATAAATATTAATTAATTTAAATTATACTCCCTCCGTCCAAAAATGTTCAAATTTTTTAATTTGGTCAACACACCAAATGTACAACTCATTTTATACTCCTAATTTCCACTAATGCCCCTTCTAGTTATTTCTATTAAAGTTAACTACATATGTATTTATTTTACAACTTAAATTTGATCAAAATTTTTATCTCAAAAATATTGACAAAGGATCTTGATGGAAAGATCTCGTTATGTAGATTAATTTGATATATAACACATTTTTTAATTATTCATGTATTAAAAGATATAATCATTTGAAAAAATGGGAAAAAACTAAACAAATGAAAATCAAATGAAGTGAATCTTATTTTCCTTACCACTACTCTTTTGGATATTTAAGTAATTTTAATTCAATTAATTTTGACTTTTGTGAAACAGGACTATTTTTTTGGGATAAGATTTTTTATTAAACTGAACTATTTTTGTGGGACGGAGGGAGTAATAAGTAAAATTTAGGATTTACCGGTTCATATAAAATTTTTACTGTTTAATGACCATCTAATGATTTAATGACATGTGTCTCTGAAAATATGGATGGCCTAAATTAGCGACACGTATCGATTATCTTTCTTTCCTTTAATATATATAATGGTAGGAATACTATATCACTCAATAAACACACAAAATTTTTCTCAATTCTCTGATGATTCAATCTCTCTTTTATCTAGTCTGAAATAATATGTCTTGTTCTATTCCCGTTAACAAAAGTTACAATTCCTTCTACCTCTAAAAAATAATTCATATTGAATCTTGAGATTTGTACTAGTTTTAGTACAAATTTGAAAATTCTATGTGAAACTATTTTTATAGAACAGAAGGAGTGTAAAATTAATAAATACCCATGATTTTTTTATTCAATTTTTCAACGAAATATTCCAATTTCCAAGATTGAATCATCCAATTTATAACTTTTAAAGTTCTATTAAACTATTTTTTAAGAAAGGTGTCACTTAAAAACATCATTTAAATCACATTTCAGATTCAAAACGAAGAAAACAAAAACGTTGTGCATCTTTTAAAATGAAAGTTCTTCCACTGTCCTTTTATTTATATTAAGATGCTTCTGATCATCTCACCCACAACTCACAAATGTCCTCTTTGTTAGTCTTCGTCCCTAGCAAAGTGGCACCACCTTATCAATTTGCTGAAAATAACCCTTGTCAAATCACAACATTCATTACCTCTGTCATCACTTTATCGATCATAATGTTTTATCTACATTTTTTTTAAAAACGTATTTTACTAGTATATATTTTTGTCTTGTCTGGGTTCATTACCACCACTTTTCAGCTCTTTCATTGTGATTCTGCTCTTTGAGATATCAAAATCTTACTTAAGATGGGGAGAGAATCTTATATGAGGAAAGTGAAAGAGAAGGCAGTTGAGGAAGAAGATTATCAACAAGAAGATGAATTTGAACCCACTCCGGATCCTGAAGATCAAATGACCCTCCATCATTACATGGCTTCAAGAGGAACACTCATTCATTCCTCACTCTGTTCTGAGGTATAAAAATTGTTATTTGTTAGTCATTTTTCAGAGTTTTACGCATTCTTGCATGCGTTTTGTTTTGAATGTACTTTCAGTAGAAAGTTAAACAGACAATGTTGTTGGAAGACGATGACATCCAAAATGCCCTGTTTTTCCCCCTCTTTTCTTAGAAAGGAAAAACTTTACTTGGTTGACAATTTTAAGGATAATCAAAATTCCCCGAGTTCTTTGAAAAGTATTTCATTGCATGGAATGATGCAGAATTATGTGCTAATTAATCAATTTAGGTGAAAGGGAAAGTTAAGATCACTTTATTTTTCTTCCTTTTTTGATACTAGAACATTAAGAGGGAAGGCTACCATTTTCTCTGTTTTGCATGTCAATGTCCTAAAGACAGTGATCTCTGCTTCTTTAGTTGTGCGAATGAATACTTGTTCACGAATTTAGGATTTCGATTGTATGATTCATGCCAGATCGTGTTTGTATTGACTCTATACATTTTTTCCAGAGAAGAAATTTTTGCATGTGTTTTGTTTTCTTTGCCCTATTGAACTTGAATGGCATCTTTATAATTGATGAATAGAATTCATTTAATGCGGGATTATTTGTATCATGGAGCAGGCTATCCCAAAGAAGCCCCTGAGATCTAGGAGGTATTATGAATTTACCTTTATATAATTGAGGATTTTGTATAGGATATAGTAGAAGTCACTTTATAAATTTGTTTCCCACACTCTGTTTTCTTGGATTCAGATTAAGCAGAAAACAGGGGAAGTTGAGGATTGCTGCTGGTAGTAATTTTGAAGTCCCATCTTCTGTTATGGACAGAGCACAAGAATTTCGATCAAGTCTTGATGCACGATTCCCCAGCATCATAAAAGCAATGCTTCGTTCGCATGTTACATGGGGTTTTTGGCTTGTAAGTTCGTGTGAAAGTGGCTATGTTACCCGGACTCTTTTATTTGGGGAGAATACCCGTGTCGTGTCGTGGGTGTGGTATGAGTGTAGGGCGTGAAATTTTAGTTTAAAATGTTTAAAATTTTTAAAATATTGACTAGTCGAACACTCAGATCTCCGCACTCGATACGACACCCGTATCCGAGTCCAGGTAATATAGGAAAGTGGTACCAAAAACAAAATTCAGCGAAACATTATTTTTGTTGTTCATCCTTGTGTATTGAATTTTCAGGGCCTTCCGGCAGCTTTTTGCAAAATGTATATGCCAGATCATGATGAGATATGTATCTTGGAAGACGAAGATGGTGAAAAATTCGAAACAAAGTACCTTGTTGGTAAAATGGGGCTTAGTGGAGGCTGTAGAGGTTTTGCTATTGCACACAACTTGAGCGAGGGTGATGCCGTTATTTACCATTTGGTCGAAACATGCAAATTCAAGGTAACCATTGTCCAAATGGATTTAACTTCGATTACCAGCTTTTCATTATAGATGTTCTTTTAGGCGCCGAAACCAGTTTTCTCAAGTCTTAACTTCTGCGCAGGTTTTCATAGTTAGAGCAACTAATGTAGGCGAAATGGATGCTGATAGAGCCCTTTCACCTTTTAAAGTAGGATGGAAATTTGGGTGACAAGATATCTGGTAAAAAAACAGACCCTTGTATTCTTACTAATTTCTCTATATGTTGGCCTGTGTTTAAATTTGACTACTTGGCGAAAAGGAAAAGTAACAGAAGAGAAGGGTAAGGGAAGCAAGAGAAGAAGAAAAAGAAAATTCTACATGGAAGATGCAGAAGAATGTGGAAGATCATCAACAACTTTTGTTGATTTTGAGGACTTCACCATAACCGCCAATGACATCATTTTGGACTACCAGATCCCTGAAAGTATACGGCTCAAGTACTATGAGCTCTGTCGTGCCCAAAAATCGTATCTGCATTCCGGTCTCCTTGCAACTATTAGCGGATCTTTGGCTGCCAAATTTATATCAGATACAGTTAAAATTGCAGATGCGATCAAATCTAGCAACATTTCTACTCCCCAAAGTGATTTTGCACTCTGGGACAAAACCTTAGCAGGGTTCGAGTCACTGGGGATTGAAGTTGGATTCCTACGTGCTCGCGTGACCAAACTTTCCCGTCTTGCTGACAATACTCCACAAGCAGAGAGGTACAAACAAGCCAAACTTCAGTATATCTAGCAGAAGAAGAGGTCAAAACTCTTGAAGCAAGACTCCATGAAGCTCAACAGGTAAAGAAGAGATGTGATTTCGATATAGAGCTTTTGAACAAGTATGTTTACAGGGATGAGTTGAGGTTCCTGGAAGAAGCTAGCGCTCCATGGTGAAAGAAAGCTTAATACGTTAGAAAAACTTTTGTGGATTCTTTTGTATAATGCTTAAGCAGTTATGCATGCTTTAATCTTTAGGGCAATCAACTGATGATGCTGGTGAGATCTTATCATATATACTAGATTACTAGCAGATTTTTTATAGAATCTAGTGCAAATATTTCTGATCATTTTGTAATTTATTTTTGGCTAAAAATCTTTTTAAGAAAGTATTCCCTAAGTATATTATTTTGGGACGGTAGGAGTAACTGATTTCTGTTCATGCGTGGTTATTACTTATTACTGTATATTCTTTTAATTCTTCTCAGTTCTGGGTACGAAGTTAAAATATGGTGTCCAGTAATTGAACCTCTTCTACTACTTAGTTTCTTTTTGGTTTGTATATATAACTTCTCTCTACTTAACGCCATTTACATTTTGCTGCCATGAACCTAACTACGCTAAGCTGCTGAAGCTTGTCAAATAAGTTGCAGAAGTTATGGAAACTAAGTCTTCAAATGGATCGAACGAGAAAGTCATTAGGATATACCTAACACCTTTTATTCAACAACATCATGCTCAGTATCTTCCTAATTCAGGTGGGGTCTGGATTTAAGATGTTCACAGCTTATCTGTGTATTTCACTACAAAGAGGTTGCTTTAAATAGTGCGACCCAAGATACATTGTTCCATTGATATATTGATTTTCAGGAGCTTCATCAAAATTAAGATGCTGTGAAATTTAAATGTGTTATCTTCATGTAATCTATTATTAGTACCAAACAAAAAAAAAATATCAAGAAAATATCAAGATACCCAAAAACTGACTTTTTCACCGGGATACAGCTTTCATCTAGACAGAAAACAATTAAGATACTCAAAACTGACTCTTTATTTCCCTAGAATGTTGAGAACGCTCTCTTAGTTCACCAGATTGTTGAGGTGTCATTCTCCTGTAGTGTTTAACGAACTTTTAGTTAACCATTTACCTGTTCACATCATTCATGTGTTCACATGACGTGTCTGACTGTCCATCTTATCAACCCTCCAAAATCAGTTACTGTCTGATGTGTCACAAATTTACAACGAAGAAGAAGAAGAAATGAAGAAGATGATATCAAGAAACGTGAAGAGAGAATCTTCTGGAAACTTGAAACATGAATTATTTATTGCTAACCGTATTAGAAATCATCATCTCTATATATACGTATTCAAACTTCTAGAATACGCCGGCTAACCAATTTGACTAAACCGACTTAATTTCCAGAACCAATCCTAGCCATTCAATCTTGTAACTAACTTAAGATCGGACGGTTGCTCCTTCTTCAATTCAAACTCTGCTTCCCGCCAAAGTCTGTTGCTAAGATCAGGAGAAAGAGGAAAGCATTGTTGTAGATTAATCCAAGTAAGCTAAGCTGTCCAAGTTGAATTTAAACCAGATTCTTTCATTTCCTTCACCCCCTCCTCAAGATGAGCGTTCCATAAGCTCATCTTGGACAACAAGAACTGAAAAATAGAGGAAGAGAGGGCCTTTGTGAACAAATCTGCAAGTTGCAACTTGGTAGAAATATAGGAAGGAAGAATAAAACCCTTTTTGAATTGATCTCGCACTACATGGCAATCGATTTCTATATGTTTAGTTCTTTCATGAAACACTGGGTTTGCAGTAATATCCAAGGCTGCCTGACTGTCACACCAAAAAGGAATTGGAATTGACAAAGGGAGACGGAAATCAGTCAATATGTAAGAAATCCATTAGAGTTCAAGAACAGTTGCTGCCATTGACTGGTATTCAGCCTCTGCAGAAGAGCATGATATAGTGCTTACTTCTTTGTCCTCCAGGAAACTAAAACTAGACTGCTTCCCAAAAAAATGCAATATCCAGTAAGGGAATGCCTGGATGTTCTACAAGTGCCCCAGTCTGCATCACTGTATGCTCTTAAAGAAAGAGGAGAATAAGAAGAATAGAAAACTCAACGACTGATGGTACCTGAAAGATATTTGAGAACATGAATTGCAGCTTCCCAATGTGACATATGAGGTCGATGCACAAACTGACTCAGTTGCTGTACAACATATGTAAGATCAGGCCTTGTGTAATTGAGGTAAAGAAGGCGACCAACCAATCGCCTATATTGTGATGCATCTTCATATAGTGGTGTTTCATCTTTACCTTCTGAGGGAAATTGTAAGGAAGGAGGGAAAGGAGTAATGGTTGGAACACAATCCAGCAAATGAGCATCATGAAGAAGATCAGTGACATATTTCTTCTGACTGATGTAGATGCCCACACTTGATCTGGCTATTTCCATTCCCAAGAAATATTTTGCCAAACCCAAGTCTTTGATAGTAAATGCCTGATCTAGAAATTGTTTCACCTTCTCTATTTCTGCTTCATTTGTTCCAGTCAAAACCACATCATCAACATAAACCAGTAAAAACAGCTGACAGTCATGATGATCAGAGACAAACAAACATGGATCATGATAGGATTGGCTAAAACCATAAGCAGTCAACTTCTCTGTGAATTCAAGATTCCATTTTCTGGAAGCCTGTTTAAGTCCATACAAGGACTTTTGCAACCTGCAAACTTGACCCTTAGCAGCTTTATCATAACCCGAAGGAGGATGCATGTATACCACCTCATCTAAATGTCCATGCAAAAAAACATTATTAACATCCAATTGATGAATAGGCCAACCCTTTGAAGCTGCTATAGCAAACAGGAGCCTCACAGTGACTACTTTAGCAACAGGAGAAAACACCTCACAGAAATCTTCACCTTCAACCTGTGTATAGCCCTTTGCAGCTAGTCTGGCCTTATAGCTATCAACTGTTCCATTAGCATTTCTCTTTATCTTATAGACCCATTTAGAGCCAATAGCTTTCTTGCCTGCAGGTAAACTTGTTAACTGCCAAGTATCATTGTCTTCTAAAGCCTGTAATTCTTTATTCATGGCCTCTACCCACTTTAAGTTTGTTCTGGCTTGATTATAAGTAGTAGGTTCATGTGTATCAGAAATATTTGCAACAAAGTTCATATATTGTACAGAAAACTGACACTTAGAATCATCCAAGGCTAGAAGGCTGGAAGTATCAATACAAGAATGTGAGGTATAAAAGTCAGTGAGATAAGAAGGTGGCTTTCTAATTCGACCACTGGTTTTGAGTGGTGGTTGTGTTTTCATGACTATGTTTTGTGAATCTGAAGCATTAGATGTCTGTGATGAAGATGAAGAAATTGTCTCAGAATGAGAAGATGATGACTGTGATATAGGTTCAGGGTTTGTAGAATAAGGATTCTGATGAATGTCAAAAGGTGATGTATCATCTGTGTGAATGACATATGAAGGAGATATAGTATTATCAGACTCCTTTGTAAGGGATGGAAATACTATTTCATGAAACAAAACATCTCTGGAAATCAAAAATTTTATTGAGCATAGGACAATAAACTTTGTACCCCTTTTGATTAGAAGGATACCCCACAAAGATCCCTCTATATGACCTAGCATCAAACTTGTCTTTTCCAGATGCTTTATTTAGAATAAAAGCTTGACAACCAAAACTCCTTAAGAAAGTAAGATCTGGTGGTTTTTGATGAAGTAGCTCATATGGTGTCTTCCATTTCAGAATCGGTGAAGGTAAACGGTTGATCAGAAAAGTGGCTGTAAGTAAGAATTCCCCCCAGAATTTCTTTGGTAACTTGGATTGTATGAGAAGAGAACGGGCAATTTGCAAAAGATGATGATGTTTTCTCTCCACAACACCATTTTGTTGTGGAGTATATGGACAAGATTTTTGATGCATAATTCCAAGGCTGGAAAAAAGGTTAGAACAGGAAATATTGACAAATTCTGTTCCATTATCACTTCTGATTCTCTTAACTACCCCATTGTATTGAGTTTTGACCATTCTAAAAAATTGATCTAATAAGGAGGGAACCTGAGATTTATGCTGGAATAAAAATGTCCATGTAGATCGACTATGATCATCTACAATGGTCAAGAAATATTGGCAATGTGTAAAGGAATGAACATGAAAAAGACCCCACACATCAATGTGCAAAAGCTCAAAACAATTCTGTGATTGAGTATGACTAATGAGAAAAGGTTTACAATGTTGCTTAAAAAGAGGGCATATCTCACAGTGTTCTAAGCATGAATCCTTCAAGGATTTTTCTGAACAGCTAAAATTATTAAATCTCATGATTTCCTGTAAAACTGACAAAGAAGGATGTCCTAGTCTAGAATGTAGAAGGAAAGGAGTAACTGCAACACAAGCTGCATTTTCTGTTTTATTACAATTGGAAAAATATGAAAGAGGTCTGTTTCCTAGCATATATCTTGCAAAGATCTCTTGTGTCCTTAATATGGCTTCTGAGGTGAAGGATGTATGATCCAACACATAGAGTTCTCTGATGACTCTCCCAGCTGCAAGGACCTACTGATTTAAGGTCCTGCAACAGACAGAAATCAGCATAGAAACGAAAGAATATGTTTGAAACTTTTGCTAATCTCCTAACTGATAGAAGATTATATTTGAAATCAGGCACATGAAGACAAGATATCAAAGTGATTGAATCTGATAGCACAACATTTCCTATATGATTCACAGATTTGATTGATCCATGAGGTAACAAAACAGGAGTGTATGATTGGACTGGTTGAGGATGATTCATTAATGCAATATCTCTACACATATGACCAGTTGCACCTGTATCAGTCACCCATGACCTAGGTCCTATAAAATTGTAGGAATCAGAACAAAACTTAGAATAAGTGGTGTTACCTGCCATATCATGATAATGCACCATATTCACCATGGAAGGGCCTGCATGGATCAGTGACTGTTTTCCCTTTATCCATCTTTTCCATTTCCTTCTACACTGCAGTTGCTACCATCATCTGTAAATCATTAGGAGTTTCCATTTCAAGAGACAAAGGTGTGTCAACCATGTGTGCAGTGTTGATCTTGTTTCCAGGCTTCCTTTAATTATTTGGCCACCATTCTGGAAATCCAATCAGCTTAAAACACTTATCCTTGAGATGACCATCTCTCTTGCAGTAAGTACATTTCAAGCCTTTCCTGTCTAAATGTGGTGGATATCCATTCAGTTTATAACATTCTTCCCTCAAGTGTCCATCTATCTGACAATAGCTGCATTTCTTTTGTGGTTTGTTCATTGAATTTGATCCTCCAACACCCTGATTTCGTTTCCAGTCTAGTACCTTAGCCACCATTGCCAAGTTATATGTGCCAGAAGCAATATTTGTGGTAACCTGTCGAGCTGTTTCTGCTTTAACCAGCATATTATAAACTATTTCTTTTTCAGTCAGTGGATCCATAAAAAGAATCATGTTCTTCTCTTGCTCATATATCTCATTTAATCCCATGAGCAACTCCATGGATCTGTCCACAATAGCACAAGTTCTTAACAGATTTCCGATTTCTCCTTCAATTACAGGTGTAGGCCTCAATTGTTCATATTGATCCCATATTTCCTTCAATCTGCCATAGTACTGTGCCATTGAAGAATCTCCTTGTCTAACCAGAGTTATCTCACGCTTTAACTCAAACAATTGAGGTGAATTAGTTGTTCCATACAGTTTCTCAATTTGTTTGCAAAGAATCTTTGCATCATGTATAAACATAAAAAGATTCACCAATTCAGGAGCAATTGAACTCTTAATCCACGAACAGACTAAACTGTTTGCACGATCCCATCTAATACGTTTCAAAGTGTTCTCTGGTGGCCTAGGTAAAGTTTCGTCTATGAAACACAACTTCATTTTTGCTTGTAAAGCAGGAATCATAGCATTCTTCCATAGCAAATAATTCTTTCCATTCAGAGGTACCGAAACAAGAGGAGTACCTGGATTTTCAGAACCGTGTACATTCAACTGCTCTTCAATCGGAAGTTCCAATTCACGCTGATTCACTTCTGCAAGAATTTGACGCCTCATCAACTGTTCATTCTCCATCCTTGACTGATTTTTTATCAAGAAATCATGTCTCGAAGTAATATATGTAGAACTTGTTCCGAATCAAAGATTTAACGATCTAACCCTAATTTGAAGATTCTGTAATTGATTGATCAGAGTATATTCGAGCGGAATTACAGAACAGGAATCAAACCTGCTCTGATACCATCACAAATTTACAGATTCTAATCATCAGAAATGAAGAACAAGAAGAAATAAAGAAGATGATATCAAGAAACGTGAAGAAAGAATCTTCTGGAAACTTGAAACATGGATTATTTATTGCTAACCGTATTACAAATCATCATCTCTATGTATACATATTCAAACTTCTAGAATACGTCGGCTAACCAATTTGACTAAACCGACTTAATTTCCAGAACCAATCCTAGCCATTCAATCTTGTAACCGACTTAAGATCGGACGGTTGCTGCTTCTTCAATTAAAACTCTGCTTCCCGCCAAGGTCTGTTGCTAAGATCAGGAGAAAGAGAAAGCATTGTTGTTGATTAATCCAAGTAAGCTGAGCTGTCCGAGTTGAATTTAAGCCAGATTCTTTCATTTCTTCAATGTGTCTGAGGAATAGGCGCTCTGTCTGTGGTGTCGAAGGAGGAGTCCGAGAAAGAAAGCCCATCTGTGTTTGTGTTGTCAGAAAAGGACAGAACGGAATCCTCGTTGCTGTCTGAGGAGTCCAAAGAGGAATCATTGCTGCTGGCTGAGGAGCCCGTGATGCTGCTCAAGGACTCCGAACTTGAGCTGCTGTCCGAGTAGCCAGGGGATTAAGTCGTCGGAGGAGGAATACCCATCAGAGTCATAGCTGAGGTCTGGCAGAACCGTGGGTATAATGGTGGGGACGAATAAAGTTTCGACAAGTGTAGAAAAGACGTGATAAAGATGATGAATACTTTGCTTCTGTTGCTGTAGTATCTCCGGGGCTTTCTTGATTTTTCCTTCTTTAATGTCCCAGTAGTAACAGTACAACTTCTTGTTCTTCTTGTTCAATATTTGAACCACATTCTCCCTGTTATTAATTGCGCCACGGACAAACAACCTCGAATCAGAATGATAATGTCGAAGAAATCTCTGTGGCCAAGGTTTGTGAATGATTTTCTCCCATTCTCCCAATTCATGATTTTCATTAGTAACGCCGCTGCCGCCGCTAATCAACCTCCAAATCACTATCCCAGCTCTCTTTTTCTTCATCAAAGCAACACATTGTCCGACCTCAATCATTAGCCAGGTGACGAAGCATGGACCTGCACCAATGTTTCGGGTCGGTTGCTCCGTATGCCATGGCGGCATTGAAACCCTAATACCTGCAAAAGAGGGCCTCGGGGTCTCCCGAATGTAGACATTCTGATATTTAAGTCAGTAAAAGTATTCGTAAAAGTATATAGTTAGGGTGCATAGACCGTACCTTTAACCGTGAAGGGTTAATCCCTATTTATAGAGCTAGGTTATGGAACCCATTCTTGGTAGAAAAGTAATTAAGAACCGACCTAGAAGCTTCCAGAAGCCGGTTGGACCTTTCACCGAACTTGGGCCGGCTTAGTCGCTGGGAGTACTAATTTGGACTCGTCAAGTGCCCCTTATCAAGCCTATACTTCAAAGTCTGAAGATAGGGTAGGCTTGATAATGTGAAGTATATAGTTTCCTCAAGTTTAGGAAAAACTGACTTGGATCGAGAACCTGCGACAGGTTAGCATCGAGAGCAATAAAAGCATTAGCGCATACCTTTCTCGATGTGCATGTCACTTATAATAATTGACATCGAAGTCTGAGGAAGATGAAGTCACTAGTCCAGACTTTTAATCGAGAAAGCATTATGTGATGGTCTTCACAATCTGCACCAGAGAAATGTCGAGGCGAATGCCCCGCTCCTTGAGAGGATTTATAGAAGAAGAAGTAGTGGAGATTCTCACTATTTCAGATATAATGGTGCGTTGTCAATAACTGGCAGAACAAGAGATCTGCTCGAAGATTACAATGCGCACTTCAGATCGAGAAGCATTAACTCCAAATCTCAAGAATAATGAATGAGAAACGATATCAAATAATCTCGTGAATAGAGGCAAGAGATATGCCTAAATGAGGTTGAACACATGAGTCTCGAAGACTTCGAGAAGACAAGCTCGAGAAGGAGACTTCTGTCAATACTATGTTGAGTACAAAGAGAGTAGATGTAATAAGACTGTGATTGTTGACATTTGTCGTCGAAGACATAAGTTCGAGAAGAAATATAAGCTGGAGCTGCATGCTAAGAACTTGGCCCAAGATAATCTATTGTCGAGAAGGAAACGTAGCGGAGATTCCCACTAGTCTCAAAATACGCGCCATTAGCAGCGGCTAAGATATATCCACTGTCGAGATGAGAAGTCCATTGGAGAACTGTGACATACGCTTCTGACTGAAAGGTAATAGATCCAAACCTTCAAGAAAAACCACTGTGTAGTGGATCGAGAAGCACCATGAATAAATACAGAATATTCTATTGACACTCGATGTCGAGGACATGAGTTTGGGAAGGAACACTGTCTGCCGAGAACTTACCCCAATGTGACCTTCTATTAAGAAATCCAGAGATTCGAGAAGATTCTCTCGAGCAGAACTCCAGAAAGTACTCAAGAGTTGTAACCATCTGACCTTGAAGAAGGCACACAAACATTTAAGCTTATTTATATCCACCCAACCGACCTGCTTGCCATTTCTCATGTCCCGAGAAATAAAGCATAGGACCCTTAGTCCGAGTTTGAGAAATATAAATCAGGTTGATGTGTCGAACCCGAGTAGATGTATAATGTCGTTGCCTGAGATTTGAGCAAGAATCGAGGAGGTATTACGCATTAGTGTGATAAGGAACGATGCCCCAGTCTGAGGACCGTCGAGAATAGTCATAGGAAGAGATCCGTAGACCAATAATCATCGAAAAAATAAAAACACAACCTCCCAAACACCTCTGAAAAACCTTACATACCTTCCAGGTACCTTACACACCTTACAGACGCTTTACAATCTCCCATATATAAACACTCCTCGTTATAGATAACCCCGGAGCCATTACTCATCTCGGAGCTCCCAAGTCTTGGGGTGGCATTTGGCAGACCGAGACTTTAGATGAGAGTGTAATTCCCACCGCTCAATTCGAGGAAGTGCCTAATCAAGAAGCCCCCATACTCGTAGGGTTAAGGCAACAAAATGACATTTCTCAGAAGGAGATGGATGGTAACCACCTTACAGAAGGAATAGGCCTGTATTAACGAGGCACAAAGTGAATTCGAGAAATTGAGAATAAAGTCAATTTTCATTCTAATGTATTGGATGATATGATAGATTGATCCAAGAAAGTATACTCGAGAACAAGTCTAGTTCTCATTGAGGTATAAAACATATGTGTTTAGGTTCGAGGGATAGTTCACCCATTGTTCATGAACATGAAAATCTAGGCCTTTCTCAATACCGGATGTCGAGTACACGGCTTATGAGTTATTTATAAAGTGCTTATAATGGCCGGATGTTAAGTATACGGCTCTTTTTGCAGGCGATCCTGAAGAGGATACCTTCGTACAGACGATTCTGAAGAGAATGTTCTTTTAAGGATGATCTTGAAAAGGATATCTGTTCAAGTGACTAGTCATGTTTAAATGGGTGTAACTGCGTATATGAGATATAACAGCTCCCATGAGTACTCGAGTGGGCTACCACTATGTGCATTAGACTGATAATCTATATCCCGAGTTTAAAGTATGAACACTCTAAGGTCAAAGCGAGAGTTACGTAATCTCTGCTTATTTTGCCCCAGAGTTCTCGAGGTATGCTTGTCCTACAGTTTAGTCCAAGACATGTATTGCAAGTATAATAATAATGACATGTCAACTGAAAGATAGTGAGAAGGTAATCTAATAAGCACATAAAGGCTCTCGGACCTTGATAGTGTATATATGGGCTCCTCGATCGAGGATGCGTATTCGAAGAGATCATTCTAGTGTACCTTAGTTTCGAGGAAGTCTTCGTTTGAATCCTTTCATGGCAATTGTCAAGGATAGATCATTCTGATGGTGATGGCTCTCGAGCGCAGACACCATTAGAATCCCAGATGGTTCTCTGATCCTGACAAAACAACTACTCATGCACTTGTAGATTTATTAGTGAGTAATAAATTATCATAGCACGAGAAATGGCTTGGAATACAATATACTATTGAGGGACTCTGCCCCCTTGAAAAACAGCCATTTTGAGATAGAAAATGAAAGAAGCAGAAAGATCTCACCATGATATGAGCAAGGCTATTGAAGCCATGGTTTGGTTAGCTCACAACAGCTACGAAAGAATGTTGCAGACCCCTACAGGTCATAGTGCAGGATGGTTCCTCTTCCTTGAGCTAACCAACTATAAGTAAGAGAGGGGGATCTGCCCCCATTCAAAAGAAAGGAAATGAACATGACTTCGTAGAAAGTAAACAAAGATAGATATTTATAAAAGCTGTGGCATCATGCTTCATGACTAATATGTGATGATGCAAGTAATAAGTCATGCATGAAACACATATGTGTAATATGTCATAATATGAGTGCAAGAACAATTATTTCATGCTTATGAGCAGATATTCATATACTGAAGCAATTATAAGGAGATCGTATCACTTATCTGTTGGAACTCTTCCAGAGGTATCCACAGGTCAGAGTAGCAATACCCACTTGTCATTGAACTCCTCATCATTGTTGTCGGAGCTCATTCTTGACGTGCACCATATATTGGTCTTTTGTTTGTTCGAGGCTACTATGGCCTGATTACAATTTCGCATCATAGAGGGGCTATCTCCATTCTCATATTTCTGCAAGTTCTGCAAAAATAGGAAGAAGTTCTTCCCAAATCTCGAGCATGCCTTTATGATAAAAGGTCTTGCATTGCTATTCTCAATATCATACAATAAAAGCATTTCGAGAAAGATGGAAACAATCAACATAAAGTGCTATGGTTAGAATTTAGATCGTCAATAGCAATTAAACTCCACTCGAGAAAGCATAGATGGCACGATTCTGTGATTACGCGTGTGAAGGCTAGGTAGTGGCTGATCATGAATGTAATGATACAAAAACCAGCAAATTCACACATTGCATGAATGGAGAATAGGTTAACGATTAACTTAGTCGATGATTTGTAGTCTATGTGATTTGAGACATGATATCTTATGATATGCTATTTATGCAAGGAGATAATAGCCATAGAGCATGTAAATGTCAAGGAGATAATAACACTTATCTTCCTTTTCGAGCAAGTCATTGCCCCTTGGAATGGGTTGCTTCGCAATTCGAGAAGGATGCTCCTCGAGTTGTCTTGTTGTAAGACCTGCAAAACTAAGTAGTATAACTGCGTCACGCTCGGGCAGTTTATTGTAACTGCAAACATTTCGTTAGATCACCTCAAGGGAGGCACTGAGTAATTTAAAGAGCATAACCAAAATTGTATTCGTTATAGAAGTCTAGTTAGGAATATGACAACATGGCACGAGTAAGTTTAGAGTTACTTATCTCCTTTCAAATCAATTGAGGGGATTGCCTCCACCCTTGTCATAGGGCTAATCTGTGTGATCACGACTGTATATGCCCTTGATCCTTCAAAAAATTGAGCTATGCTTGCATAGCTGTTCACTTCGGACAAAACGTTAGTTGTTCTAATAATAAAGTAGTTGGACCCTTGGTGAGCATACAAGAATTGTGCACGGCTTAAAATGAAGTAAGCATGCAAATATCATGTCCTGATATTAGAATAGGGCAAGTAGTACCCTGAAATTGGTGAGCTGTGCATGGTATTCAATTTATAATGTTATTGAAATACTTTTCAAGAACCTGCATGCTTGATGTGATGGCAAAGAGGGATTGACTCATAAGTATGTAAGAAAACCTAATCAGGTAACATACAATCGACATGCTACTACTATGATTATGTAGCAACAATAGGCTCAGGGAGACCTAGTATGTGTATTTATGAATAAGGATGCTAGATATAAATTTGTCACCCTCAAACTGAATAAGTTCGAAAGGCAATGATGTATGATAAGGAATTATTTGTAATAGGAGCTCGGATAACTTATCTTTCATTTAGCCTCTACCTTGCGCAATTACATAGGAGTGAGTGTTTCAGCTTGTGCTGCCGGAAACAACCGAGTAGCCTTGTACTCAAGTCTCGAGGAAGCCGCGTCCCCCGTCGAGGAGATGTGACCTTTGAGATATCAGGTCGCTCCTTACTGTAAGGTTAGGACTTGTATGAAAAACAATAAAACCATTAGAGGCAATAATGATAAATAATATCCGAGAGGACTAAATCACAAATTCTGCTTAGTTTAAAGAGAATTTTGTCCAAGTATGTCCTCTGACGGTCCAGGGGCTATTCTGCGCATTCAGAAGATTTAACGTCAGAGTATAAATAACAAAATCACTAAGGACCATTTTACAATTTTCAGGAAATTTAGAATCTCTGTCGAGCGGCTGCGACTGCTTGGATTTCTGCCGGAACTAGAGGTTTCGTAGTCCTTGCTGACTGATTTGCTTCTCAATCTTGTTTTATTCGAGGAGGCTATGTAGTCTCTCGAACCAAGGTTGACGGGCAGTAATTTCCTTAGTCAATCATAAACTCAAAAGATTTATCGTAAAAAATCATGGTTGATAAGAATAGAACAATGATGCTCAGATATGGAAGTAAGAAACTCATGTCAATAGGTGTAACATGTAAGTAAGATCCTCAGGCAACCACGATTTATGGCACAGAATCAAAGAAATCCAAAAAAAAAAGCAATAGAAGAATGACATTGATTCGTCATGACACGACTATATGTATATATTATATTTAAAGTCTCAGGCTATACATGTTGCTAACGAGAACGTAGTTTTTCTCAAATTATTATGATCCATAGATCTAGGTCAAAGAAATTATATTCTCAAAATTCTAGAGGAGAAAGTCGAGCAATCAAGTATGTAAAGTGAAGTCATGTCATCGAGAGTCATACGCATGTATGTATAATCATCAATTTTTCAGGCACACCAGCTCGAGCATGCATGTACACAGAAGAGATCAAATTATTGTGCTCGACTCATGATTTTTCTTAATAACTGATGTTAATATTAGATCAGAGGACAAAACCTGGGTGGTATATTGTAGGGTTTCCTTCGAACCTGAGAGCATTGTGCTCGCGGTTGAACAACAAAGTATCTTCCTCTTGAACCCTTCCGAGCAATGGTATCAGGGTAGGTGGTCCCTTCGAGAAGATTTTAAACTTGAGCAAATTGTCTGGTGCCCCTTGCCTCGAAGTCATGAGGACCTGTATGTAAGCTTACAAAAACCGTTGGGGCAAAATTCTGATAAGCTTATAAAATTTTGAATTGTTAGGGCAAGTTTGTTCACGAAATTTATCAAACTTGTCGAAACTTTCTCAGCGAAACGGATTGGTGCTTCTATTCTCTGTTTGCTTTTTGCTAGCTTGCTCGAACATCGGAGGATTAGTCAGATTTAAGATCCTATTAAATTTCATTATCAGATCTTCATACTTCCCAAGGCTTCACGTTTGATAAAAGGTGGGTGCTGGAGCTGCTTGATGAGCTTCTCGCGTGGATGGTAGAGGCTTTTTACGAACTCTACACCAAAATAAACCAAAAGCAAAGAAAAGCAAGGAAGGGCGTGGCCTCCATAACAAGATGTTAACTTTGCATATATTGGTGCTTAATTAATTCTTGCAACATGGTGTGCTTAATTAATTAATATCAGCTACCTACGACTTGCCTCTTAATTAATCAGATAAGTGAAGTATATCAAATACGTTCATTGTTCCAGAAGCAAGGTTTCTATCATGCAGCCACTTATATCATAATTTCAAAATGCAAAACTTGGAAGTCATAGATAGAGATATTGGGCGCAGCTACACCTTCGTCGGGAAGGAGAGAAACCCTAGCGGGTCCCACCGGGCGTGCCATTTGACGAAGCATGGACCTGCACCAATGTTTCGGGTCGTTTGCTCCGTATGCCATGGCGGCATTGAAACCCTAATACATGAAAAAGAGGGTCTCAAGGTCTCCCGAGGGTAGACACTCCGATACTTAAGTCAGTTTATGTATTCGTAGAAGAAGTATATAGTTGGGTGCATAGACCGTACCTTTAACCGTGAAGGGTTGATCCCTATTTATAGAGCTAGGTTATGGAACCCTTTCTTGGTAAAAAAAGTAATTAAGAACCGACCTAGAAGCTTCCAAAGAGGCCGGTTGGACCTTTCACCGAACTTGGGCCAGTTTAGTCGTGGGCTGTACTAATTTGGACTCGTCACCAGGAAAATGCTTTTTCCAATATGAATTTTCCTCTTCCTTCTTCTGCGTGAGGGAGGCGTATAAACCTAAATCTCTCCTGGCCAACAGAGAAAACCATAAGAGCTAAATATCTAGGAAATTCCACCAAAATGTAAATCTCATTCTTAAAGTAGAGAAAGGTAGAGCCTAGTTACACTCATGTCCTTAATCGCCTCTTTTGGAACATTCTCAGTGATGTCTCTCCATGTTCCTCCTCCTTGTCCTAGGGTGATAACTTGCATTTGGTATTTTGCCGGACAAGTAAATGCATTATCCCAACTTCTGTAATTCACTGTTTTACGATTTGCCCAAGTACGAATACAGGTGATGCTTAATACCTTATATTCTTTAGTAAGGGAATCAAACCCAAAGTAATAAGCATGTGAATCCCTCGGTGTGCTAATTCCAGTAGGCACATTTAGAGGTTGGTAAGGAAGATTTAAACTTTTTCTTGTGGTCGGATTCCAAACCTTGTGCCCAAAGCGTATTAAACCTTCCACAACATCATGACTATTATAATCACAAGGGCGACAGATCCGGTTGCCATCACCATGGAGTGGATATGGATGTTTAAGCCTCTTACGATTATGATGATCAACTAATAAGAAAGTTTGCTTATAACCATAACTCGTCCAAGTCCTCCCTCACCGGCATGCCAGAAGCTAGACTCCACTGGGACGACCTCCCTCAAGTGATCGGAGACGGTGCATATCCACAAAACAAGGGTTGTCTATCAGAGACCGCCAATGCTTTGACACACATCTCAACCTCAATAAGTTTTCAGCCGGAAGTTCCCTAAGTATGCTTAAGATAACATCATCCGGAATAATATCATTATAAGTAGTTGAATATCTCATCCTCTTCTTCTCCCTCAATGGAGGAATCTCAGTTTCCGTATCCATGGGCTTTTTCCTCCTCAACGGTGGATCCTCAGTTTCGCAAGCCATTAACCTAGGGGAAACTCTAATCACAATTATATACACGTTTCGGGAATTGTGTTCTTGTTTTATAGCACTTAAATTCACTTTTATCAAATCTTAGTATATATTAGGGGAATTTTTCTCACAAGACACATGTCACACAATTAGATCATTAATAATTTCCAAAGACATGTGTCCACTTTTCATTCGTAGAGAAACTTATGTAGTCCACGTGTCAACATTTTATTTGCTTAATACTTTTTATACTTTTTTACTACATCTCATGACTATAATATTCCATAGTAAAACACTTATGATATTTTTTGAAATATCATCGGTTTTACCTTTTCACCGATTATTAGAGATTTAATTCATCCAAATAACCAGTCAAATAACCCCGGCGATTTAATCTGCGGTGATGGCAGAATATTTTACCCGGACCTAAGGGAATCATCAGTAGTAGTTGCCGTCGGTTAAATAACTCCAGCATTTTAATCTCCGTTGATGGCATAATATATCACCCGAATTTAACAAGATAATCGCTAGTAATAGTTGCTGTCGAAATCATCATTGGATATACACCACTTATATCCACAAACAAATAATCATCTCTGTTGATTGATTATATTTTCACAGGAAGCATTGTATCTCAATTCCCAACTTATGACGAACGAGCTCATCGGCTGAAGATGATGAATTTCTTCCTTCAACTCCTGACGGTATTCTTCTTTGCCAAAAACTCCCGGAACTCCTTCCTTCCATCATGCTAAACTGTGTGTGTAATTCTCAGAAACCAAAATGATTTTGCATTCTTTCAAACATCTATCTTACCATGAACCGCAGCCAATCTCCATAATTTTAGGAATTTTCAAAATTCATATCCGGATATATAATTCCGGAATATTCATTTTAAACAAGTAAAATTTTTCCGGATTGTATTCTAGGAATATATATATATATATATATATTCGTTTTAATTATTTATTATACATAATTCACAGCAATTAGACTCATAATTTGCGTAAGACACTACCTTTATCTTATTTAATTATTAATTGCCAAAACTCCGTAATTGATCTACAATTCAAATATGAAGTGTTTCAAATACCGTATGAAACTACTTTCCGAATGTTTTCCAAATTTACATTTGTGCTTCACTTAGATAACTATCGGTGTACTTATTCCTTTTAATTATTAAAAAGAAGATATAAGATGCTAAATGAGAATAAAAATTTGTATCACTGTAATTAACTAATTGATATAGTAACCAAATTTAAACTCATTTCAAATTTTCTTCCACGCCTCAAACACGATAAACTCTAATATGACCTCAAAGTTAAATCTCCTTCTATTTAAATCTTACGCTTAATCCCCTCAATCCCTCGTCTATTCACGTCAATGCACACCCTTAAAGCATATATCATTAAAATTTATTCTTTTTCTCTCCCTCTTTCGCTTGCATACAATGGCTCAGGCTAGGAGGATCAATTCTGTCAAAGAATTGAACGGCACTACTGGATGTGGATTGCTGATTAATGTCAAGTTGTGCAAGTTGTGGGATCGCCATCATTTTAAAAATTGGGACAGAGTTGAGAGCCATGAAATGCTTCTTATGGATTCAAATGTAAGCTCCTCTACTTTGTTCAATTTTATTAATATTGAGATACGTACATGTTATATTTTCAGAAATAAAAATAAATAGATTTTTTTTTTGCAATTTTTTCTTAACTCAGGGTGACAGAATTGTTGCGGGGGTCCATTGTGACCACTTTCATCGTTTCGCCAACAAGTTCATTGAAGGTACTTCTTTGATGATCTCTAACTTCAGATGTGCAAAAAACAGAGAGAGATTCAAGCAGTGTAAACATGTTTTCCGAATTAAATTTGATGAGCGTACGACAATCGAACCAGGCCCGTATGTTGACACTACCAATTTTGGAGGAATTCATGGCTTTGATTTTGTCAGTTTCGCCTATATCAACGCCACAAAAGATTTATCCAAATTATTTGGTATGCATTTTTTTGTATTATTAAATAAACGATTAAGTTTTTTCCATTATGTATCAAAGCGATAAAATAAATGTGGATTTAATCGTATTTGTTTATTGGTTGTTTATTTTTGAAGACATAATAGGGCACATCAAAAAAACCAGTGGTCTCACAATGAAAATGGCAAGAGGCCGAAATCAACATCATATGGAATTGCACATTAGGAATGAAAAGTTTGTTCATTTACACTACTGATGTTTCCATGTTGTAGATCAATTTCAACACACAACAATTAGTTACGTTAAATGTTGCAGTGATGAAATTCTGAAGTGCACCCTATGGGGTGATCATGCATTAAAGGTCCAAAATCATATCGATGCAACTGGATCAATACGAGCCACTGTAATCATCAGCAATGCAATGATTAATGCATATGAGGGTATTTAGCTAATTAGACAAATTGTTTTTCGTTTATTATTTTATGATTTGTTTTTTTATTATGAATTCAAACAAATATTGTTTTTTTTTTCAATAGATACTAGAAGAATTCAGAATTTCTTATGGAGTACTAATGTTTATCTAAATGAAGAGTTGCTAGAAATTGTCGACTTCAAGCAAAGGTACACTGTCATCTTAGAACATACTTATTTTTTTGCAAATCACAATGTTTACTAACTATTTCATTTATATGTATGTATTGTTTGTAAACAGAATCACTGGTACTGCTGGATTTGATGAAAATGTGAAGATTGATGTGCTTCAGCCTCGCCCATAATCAGGAACAATTGATAATGTCATTGCGTGGCATAAAATCACCATTGAAGAGTTGTCCACTATAACTACAGTAAGTGCGGATTGAATTATATAACTATTTAGTTCCACTAGAGTGTAATTTCGACTAATAGTTTCCTTTAAGATTATGTAAAAATATATATAAAGGTTTAATTTTTATAAATTCTATTTTTTTTAGCCAAGGTCAAACTATGCACTTATTGCCACTATTGAGGCTCTTGATCCGGATTTTGGATGGTATTATATTGGCTGCCGCAAATGTCACAAATCTGCAAAGGAGGAGGATGTTCCAATTGTTGTGGTAAAAATTGAAGGCGAAACATCGTCTAAGAAGTCGAGGTCACAAATTCCTTCAAAGACAGTGTTTCATTGTGAGACCGAAAGCTGCCCTAAACAAATAACCACAGCAAGTCCGAGGTAAGTAAAAATTAAAAAATTAATGTTTAAATATTTATATTATTTTTGTATTACGAGAATTCCCACATTTATTCCCTCTTATGATTTGTTTATATTCAAATGTTTCTTAGATACAAAGTGAGACTTGATATTGAAGATGGGACACCAGGATCTTGCACTTTTGTGATATTTGATGATTGTATTCGTCTTCTAATGAATAAATCATGCGAACAAATCAGAGAAACTATTCCCCCAGTTTGTATTGATAAACTCAGAATTATTTTCATTTGCTATGTTAAGAATTACACTAATAAAATTTTCAATTATTTTCCTATTTTGGCCTTATTTAGGGTACCCCCAACAATCAAATACCGGAGGAACTTTACCAACTTGTAGGGAAGAAGCTCATATTCAAATTTGAGGCGACTGATTATGTCATACAAACGGGCTCGACGGTTTACAAACGCACAAAAACTATTGAGGATCCCATACTTATTACAAAATTTGAGAATGTTGTTGGTCCTGTAGAGGTTTGCCCTAAATTTCAACGTGTATATACTATATATAAAACATCTATTAACTATTTTTACTATATTTGAGTTGTTAATTTTTTAATGTTATTATTGAAAACTTAGATTGAAGATGTTAACAGTATCACCAATCTGGATACATCTGATGTGGCTATTTCGCAGTCTGTTTCCTCAAACATCCCTAAGGTTGGTCATATTTTGCAATTTCCGATATCTCAATCATTTTATAATATGTGTGTAGGTTTTTCTTACATTAATCCAATAAACAGGTGACTGGTTCAAGCTCTGTTGGAACTGAATATGATCAAGACGATGAACCTATCACTCCGGTTAGCTTTATTCAAAAGCGGAAGGTTGTTGAGATTGACGTCGACGACCAGGAACATCAGGCTTCAACTAATAAAAAGCATGTCTAATCTGTTGATTACAATGCTTTGATTCACTTCTTTGGGGATACTTCTTAAAGCTTTTTTTCAAACAAACTAATATCTTTTTCTTTGAGGGTTTTTCATTTCGTACTTTTTTTGTTCCGTCTTTGTGTACGAACTATTTTTCGTGTAATAAAATTTTGTTATCCATTGTCTCGATACAGTGGTTGAACATTACAATTTATTCAATTCAACATGAATATTTAAATATTAGTTGTAATTTAATATTACAATTGTATAGTCTTCTTTATTATTCCGAAATAAATCAAAGCTGGAACCAACTCAAATCATCCGATATACGTCAGAAATAAAATTTTGATTATCATCATTATAAGCATGTAATGAATTGTTATATTCTTCTTTTTCCTTTTATATTGGTTCACGTACTGTCACCTAATGTAGAAAAATATTACAATGATTAATAGCTCATCATAAAAGCAGAATCAAATCAAAACGAAATCAAAAAATTGTCGATTGTGCATAATTTAAAATGTCTTCTAATTCCTTTGTAAACAGCCAAAAAATCAGGTACTGACTTAAATAGTCCAAAAACAATTATAATCTTATGAAAGTATTTTTTCATCATGCTAAACAACTAAATAATAAGAAGTAACTGTAAATTACTTCTAATTATCACACACATGTTACGTTGAGTTCTGTAATATTCACTGACTATATATTTCTTCAAAAAAAAGGACCAAATCAAAACAAAAAATGCTTCTTAAAAAAAATTAACAAAAGAAAAAAAAACACATCATTACGTTGACTACTTTTTTGGTGGTGTGTTTGCATTCTATTAAAATTCTGATACTGCACTTACTCTACAACACGCAAACATCATTTCCGTAATTAAATGGACTTATCAACACCATAAATTTTTTAACTGCCCAACAATAAATCTATCCACTTATTTCCTTTAAACTAATACGTATCAATAATTCTCCCTACTCCATTCTCACTTTGTTCCAGATTTCAAACAAAGGTCTTTAGATCTTTCTTTCTTTTCTCTCTTTCTTTTCTCCCCCATTCTGCCGGTCATAATCCCTTGCATGCATTTTGAAGAAAAAATAACCAAGGGGAGTAATCTGTGTTCTTTTTCAAGATCAGGAAATGTAAAATTTGACTTTTTCTTTCTTTGTTTTTTTTTTTTGGCATCTACTGTATTGATATTCCTTACAAATACACTTTGTTGTCAGTAGATTACTTCTGTACAAATATAATATACAATTTCAAGGATTCATGATTTTGCACATTAATCAGTTTATTGTCTACTGTTAATGTTCAATCTTTAGATAAAGAAAATGTATACAATTTGTAAGCTATTGTGTTAACCTTTTTTTCGTATAAATATAATTCTAATTATTGCTGCTTATCTTTTTTTTTTCATATAACAGGATCTTAATAAAATAAAAAATGTCGTACCACTTCGGGTTCTTATACACCGTTCCAAAAGACTACCAATTTCGTGGTTTTGTAAGACATCTTACCCTTTGTTAAATTAATGTATCAGTTTGTGTATATTTTTTTTGGTTGTTATGTCAAAATTTATTTATCCCAATTTTATTCTTCTTTTTTTTTTTGCATTTTAGCTTCTCACGACTAGGTTGCGTGATTGCTTCAGCGGATATGTCCCTAAAAAATTAAACTGGTTACTCCAGTAGGCAAATTTGAAGTATTAATTTCTGAATCTGCAAATGGTCAGATTGTTATGTTTGGGAATAACTTCTTGAAATTTGCAAAGGACGTTCAAATAGGTCCATGGTGTCGAGTTCATTTCTATTATAACGGTACTGATAATATCATATTCATGCCTTTTGGATATGATGGGACTCAATCTGTTCCATACAAGAGGCTTACTTCTTTTGGAGTTCAATGCATATTCAAATTGAACCCTCATACTACTGATATCTTCACTTTAAGTCTTTCTATTCTGCCATCATTTTTTTACATAAAAATTAAATTATATCTCATGAATTCAATTTGACATCAGTAGATGAGTTAGTACCAGTTATGTATATACTGATTTTTTGTCTAGGTTGTGCCTGCTGAATTCATCAATGTACTTACAATGCCTAATACATCGGTTGTGACTGTTGAATTTGGAGAAGAAGAATATAATTTTGAATGGTTTACCAATGAGCATGGTTCTGATTTCCGTGGTAACATGTGGCCTATTTTTATAATTGGTCATCATTTCACTTTCAAGAACACATTCCTGCTTGCCTATAAGCACGAGACGACGTTCGTGCTCGATGTTTTTGATGAAAATGACTTTGATGTGCATGCTCCTGGCTGTCCATGGACTTTGTCCTCATCTTCCTAATAGAGTAAGTACTTAAATTAATCTGTTTATTTATTTTGTTAGTTCTTTATTTATTTAAGCATAAACTCACTTAATATATTTCTTAGTTCCATAATTGTCTATTCTTTAGGTTCTGAAGATGAATCTTATTTCTACCCGTGGTTGGAATCCATGTAATATAGTTTTTAGTTTATGGATGTTATGTTTTTTGTCTTGGGGTTACATAACAATTATGAATTATTATGGTTGTATTTTGAACATGATGTAACTTCTAATTATGGTTAATTATATATGAGGTACATTTGATTTAGATTCTACAACCCAATCCCTTTAAATTATTTCATATTGATATAATTTGTTCCATTTTGTTTATAATCTTTTTTTCCCGTTGTTTTATAATGATAGGGTTTTTTAAAAAAATTTCGCCATCACTACAAATTTATGCCTAATTATCATTTTTTGGAACAAACCAAAAATTGACAAAAAAATTCACTTCACCTATCGGTCATACGAATTTGAATTAATAGTTGTTAAAGTTTTCCAAATCTGTTTAGTTTATGAAATCACTTCAAATATAAAATAATGAAACATACATATTACTTTTACTTCTGTTACACAACTGCATATATTATCCTATAGTCATAAAAGAAGACCAAAACTCAAAAAAAAAAAAAAAGCTCTTGAAAACATCGACTACTTTTTTTTTTCAGACTCCACTATCTATTCCATTTAATCTTCTGCAAACTAGCCCTTACACTATAACACGCATTAATCATTTCATGAATTAAATACACTTAACTACTGCATAAATTTATATCTCTCCCTCAATAAATCCATCATCATTTTTCTTCTAAACTAAACTTACACAAACTCCATCTACTTCATTCTCTCTCTTTTTTCTTCCTTCAGAATTGTAGCATTTGTATACATATGATTTTAGTTTGACAAAAAATATATGTTACCTTTAATAAACACTGACTTAAACTTGTGATATATATGGAAATTATTATTTTAAAGGGAATCGTATATTTTTCCGGGAATATTTCAAACAACCCATCCCTATCAAATAATAAAACCCTATCACTAATATAAACGTGTTAATTCAAACTAAATATGAATTGTTATCTCTTCAAACAACTTCAAAGTATCTATATATGGACTTAATTATGACGTCAAACCGAATCCTCACCTATTCATGATTGATTCTCTCTATCATTATCACTTACATTTAAATATTCTCAAAAGGTAATAAAATTAAATTTACCCCTTTTTCTCTGGACAATTATTAGTTTACAAATATATATATATATATATATATATATATATATATATATACGTGTTTACGAAGACACTTCTTCTTTACAAAATAAGATTGCCAATTTCAACTTATCTTTTATCTCCACTAGTATTATTCCGGCACATTGTGTGGTCATATAATATATTATATATTAGTTTAATCATACAAAATGTACTATTTCGGTTTGACTAATAATTGAATGTAGTCTCTGATTTATTTCACTTTGTATCCCAGTTTGACTATGAGATTTCATTATCTTGTGTATACGTATATAAGTATAAGTTTTTGGTTTTTTAAACAGAGATTTGATGGTTAATTTTGATTTAATTATCCTATTTTGTAACGATCTGTCCCTTACTTTCTTTTTTTGTTTCAAGAATCAAATGAAAATTGTAACGTACAGTTAAATTGAGTATTGTAAAAATAGTAAATCATGTATGAACAGAAATAAGGCACGCATTTGTGTTAGTTTCCTGTACAAAAAAAAAAATAAAAGAAATGTTTAATTATCCAAAAAATCCCATAACTTGGGGTGCTATATTCATTTGGTCCTAGTTGATCAACATTGTATTTGTCAAGTCTTATAACTTCCTTTTTACTTTTCCGTCAGTTGACCATTAACAAACAAACGGTCAAACTCAAGTCATAAGGTTATTTTTGTCCTGAAATTTTGTTTTGGTTCTTAGAACATTTATTTATTTTTCTCCCTTTATTGTAATTCAATTCCTTTTAAAAATTTAATTTCATTTTACTCACTTTATTTAGTTCAATTCCTTTTTAAAAATTACTTCAAAATTTTCATCTTTATACACTTCTATTTTCATTTATTTCTTCCTGAATAAATTGTTTCTAAGATTTGATTTGAATTATTATCACTGTTTAATACTATCATTATTTTAACTATAAAAATTGTAAATATTCCAAAAATTAAAAAATTACAAACATGTTTCTCCAGCTCCAACCATCTCCTTCCAATTCTAAAACTCACACAATCCTTCGATTTCAGCCTAAGAAAGACAAACCCAGGAATCATCTTTTTCATCGGAGCAACAAAATCGATTGAAAAATTATGGGCTTACACTTCTCCCACAACCTCCATTTGAAACATGACACTGGCTCTAAAAGTACATATATCTGGAACTGAGTAACCCAAATTTGCGAAGTTTAGATCAATGAATTATTTAAGATTTAACTATGAAATTAAAAAAAAATGTGGCTTTGGGAATCTATGGTGATTTACGGTATGGGGCTACGGTGTCAACTGTCAAGGGATTGAATTGGGGGGAAGGGGGGATGATGTGGCTCGGTTTGAAATGCAATTATGATGGGTTTCAGGAAGAAGATGATTGTGGTGGTGAGTTGAAGATGATAGCCCTTATAGTCCATGGG